ATGTGAAAATTAATAATTTTTAACTATTTATTTGTACCATTTTAATTAATTTTATTAAAATTTTAAAAAATATATTAACTAATTTTATATTTTTTGCTCTTTTTAACACCTCAAAGTGTAAAAAAAGGTGTTAAAAAAGGTGTGAAAATAAAAAATTTTTAATTATTTATTTGTACCATTAATAGACACACAGAAAAACAATAATAATATTAAGAGCAGAATAATCTTAAGTTGTGAAAATAGAATAAAATAAAGTTAAGTTAGATACAATTAATTTAGAAGATAGTCATTCAGACCAAGGCCGTCTTCGAAACTCAAACCCCTCCATTTTGCTCTCGTCCCCCTTATACATAAGTTACTTGATCGAATGAGAGCAAATGAGGGCTTAGTTCTTAACCAGTTCAAAGATAATTAGTTAAAAATAAAAAAATGAAAAATTAAAAAAAATAAAAATTTTAAAAAACTTAAAATAATAGAAATATAAAAATTAAAAAATAAAAATAAAAAATGAAAAATTAAAATAAAAACAATTAATTTATTAAAATATAATTAAAAATAAATAAAAAATATAAAAATTTAAAAAATTGTATATTTTTGTATATCTATGGTGTGGACATACAAATAAATAAATATATATAGATAGATGATAGCGCGACAGTGAAATCAATTATAGGAATGACCTGGGGGCGTAGCCCCCAGGTTGTTAAAAATAAACTACATGTACATGTACATGTATGTTGCTGTGGAGTATTGCATTACACTATAAACTTCCAACCTACACTACACTACACTATATAATTAATATAGTAAATGTTATTACATTGAATTTGTATCCTTGCACTATCTTAGGTGGAGGATTGTCAACATCATAATGAGTCTGGTTGTACTTATTCCATTCAAAACCCTAACAAAATGATGATAATAATGCAAAGAAAGTACTACTGCATATCTTACAGTGTGGACCCTGTTGAAAAACCTTGGCTTTCTAGGACGATATTTACCTTGCCACACATATTGCTGTATAGAGAAAGAAAACACAATAGAGAGGGAGAGAAATGGAAGAGAGAGGGGGAGGGAGATAAAAGCTTACCTGAGGATCTAAAGTTATTTCAGAATTAAAATCATATTCTTCATTGGTTGATCCATCATCAGAGACAGTCCGTGACATGTTTATCTTACCATACTCTGTCACACTCTAAAACAATAAATTGTAATGCTACGTGTACTTTAAAAGTTTTCATTGTTGTGAGTTTAGCGTTGATATAATGTGATCAATGCATCAAATGTGCATTGATAAGTACATCAAATCAGTGTTAACAATGCATTAACAGAAGCTGTACCTTATCACCCGATAAGATCCTCCTTCTCTCGCTTTCCCTTATAGACACATCAACTTCGTAATCAATGAGTTCAACCTGAAAAAAAATTAAAACTTAAAAATTTTTTACCATTTCACCTCATCCTTAATGTCCGCTGCCTTTAGAAGTTTAGGACTGTATTTCGATGACTCGTATTCATCGTATGCTAGAGTGGGAGTGGCTATAATCACGTGACAGGTGTGACTTACCGAGCTGTAACAAGTCCTCCTCTGCTATAAGAGTATCAGACCTAAAGAAAAAAATTAATAAAAAAAATAGAAACGCGATCTCTTACTCTTCTTTCTCAGCCTCTTGTGAAGAAGGTTCTGGCTCTCCCAACTCAACAGGAATGAGTTGTTTTGAGTCTGTTTCTTCTTCATTCTCTCCTCCTCCTCCTCCCTCCATTGCTTTCTCTCCTTCCTCTTGCTCAGTTTCAACTTTGACTGGCCCAGCGGACGGGAATAATGGAGTATCAGTGATACCAAATTGCTCTGCTTGCTATAAGATGTGGAATAAAATTAATAACACTAGAAAATTGAGGTTTTTTTATCCTTCGCCACACCTTTACACATCTACATACAAACAGGGCTACTTTGCAAAATTAGCTTTATCTCTTTCCCTCCCCCTCTCTCTCATCCACCATTATTTACTTCTTGTTTTAGTTGAAATAGCTTCTTTCTCAAGGCAGCTTGATGCTTATCTCTGAGACGTGTCTGTAATAATAAATAATAATAATAATAATGATAATAATAATAATAATAATAATAATAACGATAATAATAATGATACGGTAATAATCATAAATCATGTGAAGTCTTCTTACTCTGGCTATGTGTGCTTTGAGCTGCTGGAGTGCTGTCTCCCACCACGTGACGTCACCAGGATTACGACTGTTAATCTTTGCACTTATTTGCGTTTCCAGGGCTATCAGTTCACCGTACTGGAGGAGGGGAGAGAATCAGAAGAAATATTAAAAGAAAGATGGGTTATAGAACTGGTGCTTTTGAGTGTTAAAATTTCCCAAATTAATTGTAAAATTAATGAAAATTAAATCTACATGTATATATACATGTACATGTACATGTACATGTAACATACGCTTACAGTTTTTCCTTTAAATATTTTAGCAACATCAGTTGATACTGAAGAGTGCATTCCTTCCCGATGCTCTATACTCTTAGAACCTAATTAAAATAATGAGTGGGAGGGTCACAATCAGATAAACAAACCGATGCTTAAAAGTTCCAACTTCTTCAATTTTGCTATTTCGTCTTCACATATGATCAACATATCCTGAGACATAGAAGAGGGAAGGACAGGATGAGAGGGCAATATATGATACTTTTGCTATTAAAAATGCTCATAGCTCGAAAAATATTTGTCGGAATCAGCTCAAACTTTCTACACAGCATAAGCACATCAATATGCATCAGAAAATGTAATAAAAATTGGGGGTAACTTCGGAGCCATTTTTTGGAAAAAACCATGGGCTATAGCCTTGGGCATTTTTCAAAAATTGGCTCGTTTTTTTAAATGCTCATAACTCGAAAAATACTTGTCGGAATCAGCTCAAACTTTCTACACAGCATAAGTACATCAATATGTATCAGAAAATGTAATAAAAATTGGGGGTGATTTCGGAGCCATTTTTTAGAAAAAACCATGGGCTATAGCCTTGGGCATTTTTCGAAAACTGGCTCATTTTTTAAATGCTCATAACTCGAAAAATATTTGTCGGAATCAGCTCAAACTTTCTACACAGCATAAGCACATCAATATGCATCAGAAAATGTAATAAAAATTGGAGGTAATTTCGGAGCCATTTTTTGGAAAAACCATGGGCTATAGCCTTGGGCATTTTTCAAAAATTGGTTCATTTTTCAAAATGCTCATAACTCAAAAAAATTTATCGGAATCAGCTCAAACTTTCTACACAGCATAAGTACATCAATATGTATCAGAAAATGTAATAAAAATTGGGGGAGGGGGGGTGATTTCGGAGCCATTTTTTGAAAAAAACATGGGCTATAGTACAGGGAATTTTTTAAAAATTGGCTAGTTTCTTAAAATGCTCATATCTGCATGCTTATACATTTCTTCTATGTACCTTCCAGTAGTCAGTATGTACATCCCCTTCCAATTCTATGTACACCTTCATGTCTTCAAGTAAATCCTCAAGATCAACTATATTAAGACCCTGGAATGGGTGTGGTCAGATACGCCCACACAATGGCACTACTAACCCTCAGTAAGTGATATGGCTCTTGCATTTCAATGTCCATGTCATCGTCAGTTGTGTTGATGTACTTAGCCAATAAATCAATGGGTTTAGCTGTAAGAGTTAGGGGGTGAATTAGAGGTATCTCACCATTAAAACAGTTGCTATACAACATACCTCTTCCTCCTTCAATTCTGACCTTAGACCTCAACTTGGCTTGTTCCAAATGAAACTAAAAAAGAGAGAGGGGGAGAGAGAGAGAGAGAGAGAGAGAGAGAGAGAGGGAGGGAGGGAGGGAGGAGGAGAGATAAAGTGGTGATATTTGTGACTGTATTTACGTCATCTTCTTGGTTCTCCCATTCCTTGAACATGTCTGCCTCTTTCATTCTTTGTAAAAGAGCCTATCACAAGTAAGAAAATAATTGCATTTATAAACACAATATATCTGTCAGCTGCAGCAATACAGTACAGTACATGGATAATAGTAGGGCCTAACCATTTCTTCTTCCCTTGCTTCTCTCTCCTTTTCTCTTTCCTAAAGATAAATAAGAGAATAACTTTAACATTTCAAATATAACTGTTGCATGGTTTCACAAATACAAAAGGCTAGTAGATAATGTTATGATATTCCAGTTGCTTTTAGCAGGAAATGTTTTCTCTCTTACTATTCGCCTCTTTTTCACTTTCTCCAATTCTGTCTTCATCTCAACCTGCCTCCTCTTCTCTCGTCTCTCTAGCTCCTCAGCTGAAACTTTAGTCTCCTCAGCCTCTTTCTCCCTTTTCTACCGAAAAAATCATCACCAATAAAACTTATTTACTATGCATGTAAGTTTTGTATAAAAATATGTTCTTTATTTTGCATTTGCGTGTACATGCAACTTTCCGTTAAATTCTCAATTAAAAACACTTTATTCTATAAATTTTCATCACTAAAAAAATACCCCTAAGCTGTGAATGATAATGTACCTTGTGCCAAACAAATGTATCCAGCAAGTGTTGGTCACCAAAAGGATTGTCGGCATTAGTGTACCCCTATAAATGTGATGGACAAAAATTGAAAAAAAAAAGGATAAATTTCTATACATAATTTTACTAGGTAAACCATATAAAAAACAATTATCCTCACTCCCACAAAAGCATTTTCATTATTAATTACCATCATTTCTTGGTCCCAGCCCATTTCCGCTCGCTTCCGTTTATCCTTTTCTTCTTTCTTCTTAATACGGCGAAGTCTCTTTTCCTCTGGAGTCTCCAAGGCCTTCATTAATTCCTTTTGCTTCCTGTGATCCATCATCATAATAAATAAATTAATATGTATAATAATTATCATTATTAATTAATGATGATTATCATCATACTTCTTTTCTGCTCTTTCTTTTTCGGCCTGTTCCTTCTTTCTGTGCTTTCTTTTATGTAAAGGAGAGGGAGAGCGGGAGGGAGAGGTAGATGGAGAGCGGTGTCTATGATGATGGTGCTTAGTCTTTGGCATCTTCTTGGACTTGAAACTTGAAGGGAGTTAAAAATTAAGGCGGGCGCGGTTTAAATAATTAAACCACGCCCTAAAACCGCCATGGATTCTAGCCAAGAAGCTGCAGAGGCAGAGGAAAGAGCTACTTCCATTTCTGTCTCTGGGATACCTCCAGGACAAAAATCTCAGGCTCTCTTGAAGCGATTGGATGACTCAATTGGCAAGACCAATTACGTGGGGCTGTATGGTATTGCGTTAGAATCAGGCTCAGGGCCTTACATGAAAGATGTAGATGGAAATGCTTATCTGGACTGTCTTGCTGCAGCCTCCGTCAACGTCCTTGGGTATGGTCAGGAAAATATAGCCAAAAGACTCTACACAGTGACAAGCTCCATGCAAAACACTGGATTCATTTATTCGCCTAATACCCATGCAGTAGAGTTGGCTGAGAAGTTGATTAGCATAACCCCTGGGGATTGGCCGAAGAAAGTCATACTTGGTCTGAGTGGCTCTGATTCAAATGGTGGAGCTATTGAAGCTATGCGTCGCTTTACAACCAGGAAAGGTGTAATACATTTTAAAAATGCTTATCACGGGTCAACAGGGTTATCACAACAGGCGAGTGATTTCGGTTTGCTTAACAAAGGTATTTATCTGAAAACACCTTTCTTTGCATCTGTTAGCTTCCCAACCACAGCTGAAGAGGGAGAGGCTACACTTAAAAAAATTGAAAAACTCCTCTATTCTGGTATTTATGGTGGGTTTATAGCAGAGGTCTTTCAAGGTGATGCAGGTGTCATTCTTCCACCTCCTGGCTTCTTTTGTAATTTAAAAGCACTCCTAGAGAAATACCAAGCACTTTTGATTGTGGATGAAATACAAAGTGGAATGGGTCGTACTGGGAAGTGGTGGGCTTGTGAGCATGAGGATATTGCTCCTGATATAATAGTGATGGGTAAAGGCTTGGGAGGAGGATTTGTACCCATATCTGCTGCTGTTGGAAGGAAAGAAGTACTCGACTCATTGGACCCAGGCCAACAGTTGTTTACTTTTGCAGGACACCCAACTGCTTCGCTTGCTGCATGCTTAGTCATTGATGCTATCGAGGAAAGAAATCTAATCAAAGGAGCATTAAGAGTTGGTACACTTTTAAAGAGAAAGCTGAAAGAGCTTCAGTCTTGTTATCCTGATATAATCATTGCAGTGAGAGGGATGGGCCTTATGATTGGAGTCGAAATAGATACGAGCAGAGAATTATTTGAGCTAATCTCAAAAGAAAGTAATGCTGTCGTTTTTGCAACGAGATGTGCGGAAAAGGGAATTTACGTTGGATACTTTGGAACAAAGCATCAAGTAATTAGAATCGAGCCGCCATTAGTTATAGGAGATCTTGAAGTCTTTGAGATAATAAGGATCATGAAAGAGGTCTGTGAAGAAGTGATGAATGGGGACATCCCAAAGGAAACTATTGACAATGTCAAGAAGTACTCTATAGGATTGTAGCTACATGCTACTACAATTGAGTAATTATTTTATAAGTAAACATTTTTAGATTTTTTTTTACCTATTTTTGTGTGCATTAAATTTTAATTGCTGCAATTATTAGTGTAATGGCAATAATTTGAATTATTATGTTTTTTGTATTAATCTGATCTATTTTTGAAAAAAATATGTTTAAATGCAGACATAGATTTGATAATGAGCCCCGCTTTGCAAAGCTGCAACATGCCACACCTTTTTTGACAGCTTTAATCAGCAGAGAAATGTCAGCAGATAGAAAAGGCAGTTTTATCTTCAATCAAGCCAAAGAGAGGCTCTCACTTCCTCAAAGGTACCTTAAGGAGCTAAAAAGTCGTACCTTTAAGTTTTCAGGATGGCTGCTAGTGTTGTATGCTATTGCAGTTGCTTCCACCATTCAATTGAGTCACACTATCACAGTAAGATTAGCAACACCACCTGCAACCTCTCCTGTCATGAATACAGAAGACTCTACCAAACTGTATTATGTGGCATCCTTTGGACGCTCAATCCTTCATGTTTTTCTCTATCTGTTTGTTGGATGGTTCTCTGACATCAAAATAGGAAGAAAGGGAGCAGTGAGATTGAGCCTCTGGATAAATTGGTTTGGAGTCTTGCTAGAAATGTGTAGCATGTGTATACAATTTGGATCTGGAAGCTATCCGGCAATTAATACTGCAAAGTATGGAGTTTCGATGATAGCATTGCTACTGATGCTGCTTGGGTCTGCAATGTTCTTTGTCAACGTTGTAGCGTATGGACTAGATCAGCTAGCAGATTATTCAAACTCTCGTATCAGGGCATTCATCCATTGGCTTGTATGGGGTTTATTTATTGGTTTTACAGCAGGATACATTGGGAGGGACAATGTTTACAACTCAAATCTTCAACTCTGCCTCGGTTTGGGAGTCTTTATTGCGTCCTCACTTGCAGTCTGCACGGACAGTCTTCTTAACCATTATTACATGGAGACTGGGGAATTGGCAGAAAATCCATACAGGCTAGTGTTGAAAGTGCTATGGTATGCAAGCAGACACAAGCACATGCTTTCACAAAGGAGTGCATTCACATTCTGGGAGGCTGAAACACCAAATCGCATCAGCCTAGCAAAGCAGAAATACGGAGGTCCATTTCCAGATCAGTCAGTTGAAAATGTCAAAACATTTTTAAGAATAATTCTCATCTGCTTTGCCTTGTTTGGTTTTTACATTCCCTTTTTTGTAATGTATGGAAGGATTGTCGTTGATCAATTTGAAGGCAGTACTGAGAGTCTGGGTGGCTATGGGTCCTACATCATGTGGAACATTTGCGATAAAATTGTCATAATCCTCGTCGCCCTATATGAGCTAGTATTGATCCCCCTTTTTCCAAAGCTGGAATATTTTTTCCTCAACCCTTTACGCTGGCTGGGAATCTCTTACATACTCCTCCTTATTACTCTCTTAATTACATTTGCTATAAGTGTTGCTGGGGAAGTATTGACACCATATGAAGTCAACTGTACCACAGAGACCAAAAAATTCCAAGTTTCATTTCTGTATTTCACAGTTCCTTTTTTATTATATGGACTGATTGACATGATTAGTATAATCAGTGGTCTTGAGTTTATTGGGAGTCAATCTCCCACTTACATGAGTGGTATGCTGACAGGGGTATTCTGGTTTGTACGTGGTATATATACAGAGGTTGGTCGATTAATCCAACTTTCTTTTTCTTTGATTACCCATGGCCCTGGAGACCTCTCGTGTAACTTCTGGAACATTTTAACTCAAATCGTTATCCTCATCGTGGGATTTTTTATTTACGTAAAAGCAGCTAAGTGGTATCAAAATCGAATCAGAAATGAAGCAAGTGACCGTACAATCATTGAAGAGAAATATAGCCAGAGATTGGAGAGAAGTGAAGAAGAGAGTGAGATTGTTATAGATGAAAATGGAGAAGAAGTCAGTAGCCTGCATGACTATTTTTTAAAAGACTATGTAATTGAGACAGTCAAGTAAAATTGACCCTAAAGTGTTTTTAATGATTTTTAATACAGTAGCCTTAATTTTAATTGTTATTTTGTAAAAAAGGTAATTTTAGAAGCACATTATAATATATAGCACGGCAGCATGTTCAACATTTTCCCTGTTATTTCATACGATGCTCAGTAGCAGGATCCATGAAGTCCTTCCCACTCACATCATCTGTTTGACAATTGAGTATCTCAGAGTTGGGTACTCTAGCAAGAGGAGTGTACTGCGGATGATGGTGAGGAATGACTGGGTCATTGGATGCCCTGTTGTAAGCAATAAGGAATGCCCATCTCCTCCTGTCACTGTTGTTCTGCTCGGATTTGTGCAATAAGTTGCAGTGAAAGAAAAGAGCATCTCCAGCCTCTAGCTCAACATCAACCAGTGGCAATATCTACCATAATAATTATAGTTAATTGCAGGGAAGAGTATAATATTTATACATAATACCAAAGCGTCTGTGTCATTTATAGTACCTTTTGAATCATGCCCACTCTCTCAAGATCAGCTCCTACTTGTCCTGCAACTGGTATATGGGCTATGCGACCAGCTTTATGTGAGCGCTCAAGTATCTAAAAAATGCATATAGTCAATGATACAAATGCTTTGTCATACCTTGAGGCAGCCATTTGCAACATCAGTCTTATCAATGGCAATGAAAACTGTTCCCATGTCAGGAAAAAGGCAGCCATTGTTATACCAGTAGCTATAGCAAGCAAAGAGGACAGAAATAAGAGAGGAGTATAGAATTAATTACTGACCCATAGTCTTGATGCCATACAAATTGTCCACCAGTACGTGCTTCTTTCATCATTAGCTTAGTATGATAGTGGTAAACTTCACCACCTAGCAACTAATAATGAAGACATTAACATTAGCATTACTGGGTACAAGCTTATAAACATGTCATTAAAACTTTTTTTACTTTTTCCATTGTTCCAGCCACTTTATCTGATCGTGCTATCATTCCACTGATGTCTTTGCCAGGATGATTCCACAATGCCATACGACTGATCCTACCGTTACCATCATCCCGGCCGTATGAGTGTTTAAGGAGCTCACTATCACTCTCAAGACTAGCCTGAAGCTTTACAACTTCAGGGCGGTTCAAAAGAGACCTGGTTTGTGAAACAAGCATCTATTAGACGCTTCAAGCTACAAATAAACCAATCCTGTACCTAACAATGATGTATCCATACTCATTGAAGGCCTCTATAACAGCAGGAGTAACTGTAAACTCGTTGTTTTCTCCCATTGTAAATGTTGCTGCAGAAGCCATGACACCAGCCCCACCCTTAAAAAGCATGGGTCATTAATTCATTTCAATGAATATTAAATTAACCACGTGGAAACATGGCAGACTTCAAAAGACTCGAAGTGAAAAAGAAAGCTAGACTGGTTCCCATAAATTACAAAGAAAACTCCTTCTGGGATAAATACCAAGTACCTTAGGTCTCATTCTTAGATCTCAACTTCTATTGTAATATTTTAGTCTCCAATTATTGTCAAAGAATTTGCTGCAGTGACTTGTATTGATTTCTCTCCTGTACCTCCCCACGACTATGCTGTCACTACGGGATCTAGAGTAAGGCCAATACCATATAGCTGCTAATTTTGGAAGAGGAATTTTAGTGATTAGTTGGTTTTAATTTGGTGAATCTGTCTCATGTCATTGAAGCATGCAAATAATGATTAAAAGTTAAAACAAAAATTTCTCTTAAACAATTATTCATTTTATTATAGTTCTTTATTTTACTCCTCTATCTCCTGTACCTTTTCTCTGTTTTTCTCAGGTCCAGATATATAGTTCTAGTAATAATACGATTAAGAAGACAATAACACGATTCAAGGAGACTGCCTCCTCTGCTCGGTTTCGTCACGATGGTCAGTTGCTAGTAGCTGGAGGCGATGAAGGGGTGATAAGGGTAAGCCCCTCTTACTAGTAGTCTAATTAGTGGGCTCTCTTTTATTGTAGATTTTTGACATGAACAGTAGATTTGTCCTGAGGCAATTGAAAGGTCATTCAAAGTGAGTTTTATGTAGCCTAATTAGAACATACATTTACACGTATGTAGATTGATAATTTCGTTAATTTGTGAGTTTTGACTGTCTTAAAATTGTCAAAAATTTGAGTTGTATCTATTAGTTTTTTTTTCTCTATTCTAGGCCAGTAAAGTCAGCCCAGTTCTCAGTAGATGGACTCCACATTGTGTCTGGATCAGACGACACTGTACTTAGGTATTGGGACATTGCCACAGAAACCAGCATATCAGACCTACACGGACACGAAGTATTTTATTTAGACCTTTCATTTAATAATTTTATTTATTTCATAGGATTACATTCGGTCACTCTCTCTCGTCCCTTCTTCTCCTTATATGGTATTGACAGGATCCTATGATCACACAGTCCGTGGGTGGGACCTACGTTCTGGTGACTCCGCCTTTAAATTAAATCACGGAGCGCCCGTAGAAGCCGTACTAGTTTTCCCGTCAGGCGGTACCTGTGTGACAGCTGGTGGTAACTTTGTTAAAGTCTGGGACCTGCTTCGTGGTGGGAAGCCGTTTTGCGGTTTTTCTAATCATCAGAAAACCATCACTAGTTTAGTATTTGATGGATCTCATCAAAGGATACTATCAGGTGGTCTTGATCGGTGAGTTTTTTAATGTATTAAGTGAGTTTTTCAATGCATTTATTTCTTTTTTCCTTCTTCTTTTGTCTTTCTCTCTCTCTCTCTCTCTCAGTCATCTTAAAGTATACAGTGTTGAGGATTATCATGTTGTTCACAATATTACTTACCCTGCTCCTATACTCTCTATGGCAATGTCTGTAAGTTATAGATCACACATAATTTCTACTCATTATCATCACAGCCTTCTGATAGTCATGTGACTGTTGGCATGACGACCCGTCTCCTGTCTATTCGTCATCGTCCTCACCATAAAATCGAATCTTCTTTGCCAACAGACAGTCATGCTTCGTTATTTGCTCCTCCTCGTAGAGCTAGGGGTTCTCGCCCAGGCACTCAGAGGTAAGATGAGAAAGAATGAAAATAGCAAAATTAAATCAATGATCCTGTATCTATTTTATGCATGTTTTATGTTGTGTAGAAAGTTTGTGCACAATTTCCAAAAAAAATTGATTTTTTTATGAATTTTAAAGCTACTCAAAAACTTGGCCAAAGTCTCTGTACTATATACAGTACAGGGACTTTTGCCAAAATTGAAAAGGAGAAAATTCTCTATTTTTTATAATTTTTCTGATAGATATACATGTACTTATGTTGCGTAGAAAATTTGACTTGGTTTCACTCAAAACTAGATTTTTTACTAATTTTTTAAGTTGCTCAAAAATCAGGCTGAAGTCCCTGTACTATAGTACAGGGACTTTGGCCAAATTTTGCCAAAAATGACTAGGAGAGAATTTTCCATTTTTATAATTTTTCCTGATGCATATACATATTTTTATGTTGTATGTAAAGTTTGAGCTGTTTCCGATCAAGTTTGGATTTTTTACGAATTTTTCAATTATTAGATATTTTATGAGAGGTTATGACCTGAAGCCACACGATGATGATCATGTTGTTAGTCTCCATCACAAACCTAAATACGATAAATACGAACTCTGTTTGAAATCGTTCAACTTTAAACAAGCCCTTGATGCTGTTTTGGAAATGGTAAGAGTATTATTGAACACATTATTATTACTATTCTTTTTTTCTCTCTCTCTCTTTTCATTATAGGAGGTCAAAAAGCGTAATGGTAAGGCATCAAAGGTCTACAGTGTGCTCCAAGAATTGGCTAGAATGGACAGGCTTCATGCAGCAATAGCTTATAGGTCTCCTCCAGAGATTATCCCTTTAATCATTTTCCTAAGAAAGTACAAGAATTTCAGTAATATCATTGCTTAATGAGTCACTTTATAGAAATTTATTAACCTTTGGCTATACCTCATTCCTAGCTGATGTGTGTGACATTGTGATAGGTGAGAGCATGGTTTAAACCATTCATGTGCTTTAGTTACATTCTATAGATGCTTATGGTCATGAGCTATCGGAATCAAAGGAGCTTCGAATTCAATTTGATTATCTTAAGCAGGTTCTGTGTCGTGAATTGAGGTTTCAAAGGGAAGCTGTTGGTTTGTTGGGAGTTATTGATACTTTACTAACGGCGTCGACTGTAGAGTGGAGCAAAGGAAGATCTGATGAGAAAAAAGTGGCAGTTTCTGCTAAGGACACTATAAAGATGGATGTAGACACTAGACGTTTATAAAATAATTTTGTAATAGCCACTAGTTTTTTATTAAAGACAAATATTTTGGTGGGAACCACTGCAACCTGCCAACAGTAGCTAAGCAACTATATTAACGGTAAATTACCTGGGAAAATTTTTAATTATTCCTCAGAAAAACTAAAGTTTTCATGGAATTTTTCTGGGAAAATAAAGTTTCTCAGCAAATTTCCCGGGAAAAATTTAAATTGATTATTTCCCAGAAAAATATTAAATTTTCCTGGGAAATTTTTTGGAAAAAATTTAAAGTAATTTTAAATCAAAAGATTTAATTAAATTTTAATGATTCATCAACAATTAAATTAATTACCGGTAATTAAGAGTATTCATGAAATTAATTGAACAGTAACTATTTTTAAAGGCAACTGTATCATGGCAACAGTAACTCAGCAACTGCAACTTTTAATAGCACTGTTTACATCAGCTACATGACCAGCTAGCATCGAAATTCTACATTAATGTGTCTAGTTATCATAAATATTAATTAAAATGTACTAGCTAACACAAACCACTATTAAAATATTAGAGAAACACAACAAGTACATTTATTAACTCCGAGGCAGAAGGCATGATGAAACGCAGTGCAGTATAATAATAGACATAACATCAAGACTGGGAGAGAAATCGATTAAAGTCGTTATAAGCACTCTCAAAATCAAACAACATCTGTCTAGCTTGATCTTCGGACAACTCATCACTTGCCTGCATATTAGCCATCTCGTCAAGCCACTTTCGGACTTTTGTCCGTCCCTCAAAAGAAGCGGGAAGGGACGCCATGCGTGACATGGTCTCAAAAAGATCCTTGACGTCAGGATGAAGCTCGTCCATGGCCCGTATCTCTAGCCTCAGTCTATCCATGATGGTGATAAAGAGGGAGACTATCTCTGCTATTGCCTTGCTCATGTTTCCCTTATTGTCTCTGACGGTGATTGGATGACCCTCTTTGATTCTCTCCATTGCTGCTGGACAATGGAGCATGTATCGCTGAGAAAACGTCTCAACGGAAGCAAACGAAGGTTTTATTAGCTTAAAAGCGGCTTTGTATTGATCCAGGAGTATGTTACACGAGGTGGTGTACTGTTCTGATGTCACTGCATCTTTTATGTAGGCTTTTTCCAGTGCCTCTATTGTCTTTATTAGGGAGAAAACGTTGGCTCTGTTATCGTAGTCTTCTCTCTGGCGGGCATTGTCATAGAGCTTGATCTCTTCTTGTAGTCTTGAGTCGTCTAGCGCGCCCCCTCCTCCGCTAGCTGCTCGAGAAGGAACGCCAGAGAATACAGGAACGGCGGCCATTTTTGTGCTGAGTGTGAATGGGAGGGGATAAAAATCTAACATTACTTTTCCAATTAAGCGAATGATATTTATAGGCGTGGTTTATAATATTACTTTTCTAATTAAACAAAAATTACATTGTTCGCCCATGTGTGAAATGGAACCCTGATGTAAAATAATAACATCTTTTGTTCGTATTTATAGTGCATGTTATCCTTCATTGGCAAGCTCTCCACTGGTTTTTTAAGGAAGTATTGTAGTAGAATAATCTCTGCAGAGTCGGAAATGGCCGCCAAAAGCTATCCTTTGGAAGTGAGGCCCTTTATAAATATTACTATTAAAATTATTATTTTTATTAGCTCGATCCTCCTCCAGATTATATTGCGTCTCGTAATGCAATTTTTGATCGTTTGAAAGCCGAGTACCTTGCAGAAATTGAAGGTATGGGTTACGCCCATTTTAACAAATTAATAACAAAATAATTGATTATTATTCTTTTGCCTCGTCTATTTGAAATTTAAAAAAAATATGCAATCATCAAAATTTGTTATGATCAACTCGTAATTTTTCGTGTAGCTAAAGAGCCACGCCCTATCAAGGTGACGCTACCTGATGGGAAAGTAATGGAGGGTCTGTCATGGCGTACAACACCTTACGACATAGCGTCTCAAATTAGCAAAGGACTAGCTGATAATGCTGTCATTTCTAAGGCAAGTTGCAGAGAAGGTCATAGGTAGTAGTTTTCTCTTGATGATACCCTCTAGGTTAATGGGTCTGTTTTCGACCTGGAGCGTCCGCTTGAGGAAGACTGCACTTTGGAATTATTGAAATTTGAGGACCCAGAGGGTAAGAAAAAAGGAGAGACAGAGAGAGAGAGGAAAAAAGGGTAAGACGTGAATAGAAGAAAAGGAGAGAGAGAGAGATAATGCAGAAGCTATTTGAATCTTTTTCTCCCCCTCCCTCCCTCCCCATCTTTCACTAATACATGTAGCTCAGACTGTGTTTTGGCATTCAACTGCTCACATACTAGGAGAAGCAATGGAGAGACACTATGGTGGTTGTCTTTGTTATGGCCCTCCAATTGAGAGCGGATTCTATTACGACATGTTCATGGAAGGAAGGTACTAGTAACAAACTACAGTACATATACACATGTACATATGTGTACATTATAATCCTCTGATTTGAGATTTAAGGATATGATCAATTTTTACAAATTTCTTGTGAGATGTAATAGTATTATAATAGCAGTTAAATCGTGTTTTTGATTCCAGAAGTTATCTTGCAATTTATGTAATATTTTCTTTTCTTTCTTTTAGGCAGGTTTCTCCTTATGATTTTGAGAAGTTGGATACACTAATGAAAAAGGTGACAAAGGAGAAGCAACCTTTCGAAAGACTAGAAATGAAGAAGGAAGATCTTTTGGAAATGTTCAAGGTAAACCACATCGAACTATGCCTGTTACAATTTGCATGTACATGCATGGCATTTGAAAATATCTCATTAATTTGTAACTTTGAAAACTTGCATTAACCAAGTAGAAGAACATACATGCTAAAGTCCAGTCAAGTGTACATATGCATTGTCCCTTCTCTTTCTTTCAGTATAACAAGTTCAAGCTCCGTATTTTGAATGAAAAGGTGACCACGCCCACCACAACCGTGTATAGGTGTGGCACTCTCATTGATCTCTGTCGTGGTCCTCATGTCCGTCACACCGGAAAGATCAAAGCCTCTCTCATTACTAAGGTATGATCACGTGACCCTAACGTGAGTCTCATGTGACCTTAGAACTCCTCCACTTATTGGGAGGGTAGAGCTGATGCCGAGGGTCTCCAAAGGATTTATGGGATATCGTTTCCCGATAGCAAGCAGGTAAATATTTTTGAGAGATTTAAAGAAATATTTACTCTATTTTTTAAATATTTTTCTCTGTGCTTTCTCTTTGTTACTTTATTTTATTTCTCTATTTTTTACTCTACGTTTAATTTCTTCTTACTCTATTTCTTAAATTTTTCTCTCAGTTGAAAGAGTGGAAGACACTGCAGGAGGAAGCTGCAAAAAGAGATCACAGAAAAATTGGACGAGTAATTTAAACAGATTATATTCATATTTCCCGTTTCTATTTTAGTGGGCAAAAATGCAAAATCTGAAAGTTTTATTTATCCTTTTTTCTCTCTTTGTTTCAGGATAAAGAGCTGTTTTTCTTTCATGAGCTAAGTCCTGGCAGTTGCTTTTTCTTGCCCAGAGGAGCCCATATCTATAATACACTCATTGAATTTATCAAGTCGGAGTACAGAAAGAGAGGATTTCAAGAGGTCATGTCTCCTAATATATACAACAGCAAGCTATGGGTCACTTCTGGACACTGGCAGCATTATGCTGTATGTTAAATAATAATAATAATAATAATAATAATAATAATAATAATAATAATAATAATAATAATAATAATGATAGTGATAATTATATAATAGTAGTAATAATAATAATGATAATAATAGTAAACTTAAATTATTTCCGTTAGGAGAACATGTTCCAGTTTGATATTGAAAAAGAACGATTCGCATTGAAACCAATGAACTGCCCAGGACACTGGTATTTATTATTAAATTATATTTAAAGTTTACCGTGTGGCTGCTTAATTATAGGGTATAATTTTCGCTGTTTTTGCAGATTTTCCGTATCCGCGAAAGTTAATTCAGTAAAATTATCCGTATTGCCCTATAAACATGTGTACTTTAAAATAAGAACCACGAAAGATAATTCGCGAAAAAAGACTTGTGGCCTGATTAGTGAGAGTTTATTGCCTCAAAACTTTGTGGCTATACGGTATTCTTACTTGAATTTTGTCTCCCCTCAGTTTGATGTTCAGCCATCGCCAACGGTCCTGGAGAGAACTCCCCCTGAGGTTTGCCGATTTTGGCGTTCTTCATCGGAACGAGCTCACTGGTGCTCTCTCAGGGCTCACTCGTGTGCGAAGGTTCCAACAAGACGATGCACATATCTTCTGCACCTTTGAACAAGTACTTGATAATTTATTTTTTAATTTATTGTCCATTTTTTTTTATTTCGTTCCATTTTGACCTACTTCTTTCTTTAACAGATATCATCAGAGATAAATGGCTGTCTTGATTTTCTTAAAAGCGTTTATGGTATTTTCGGTTTCACGTACAACCTTTTCCTCTCCACAAGACCAAAGGACTTTATGGGAGAGCCAGCACTGTGGGACAAAGCTGAAAAGGTTAGTACTGTGTAGTTCATAGTTTTAAAAATGCTCATAACTCAAAAAATATTTGTCAGAATCAGCTCAAACTTTCTACACAGCATAAGGGCATCAATATGTATCAGAAAATGTAATAAAAATTGGGGATGATTTTTTAGCCATTTTTCAGAAAAAAGCATGGGCTATAGTACAGGGTATTTTTCAGAAATTTGCCAATTTTTAAAAATGGCCATAACTCAAAAACTTTTAGTCGGAATCACCTCAAACTTTCTACACAGCATAAGGGCATCAATATGTATCAGAAAATGTAATAAAAATTTGGGGTGATTTTTTAGCCATTTTTTGGAAAAAACCATGGGATATAGCCTTGGATATTATTTGAAAATTGGCTGATTTAAAAAAATGCTCAAAACTCGAAAAATATTTGTCGAAACCAGCTCAAACTTTCTAAACAGCATAAGGAAGTGATTTCAGAGGCCATTTTTAGTTTTTGAAAGTGCTAGCAAGAATAAAAAATTTTGATCTTTTTACCAAAATATCTCTCCATCATATCACTTTATTCATCACACTCTAGTATATAAAACTTTTAAGTTCAAATGTAATAAAGTGCATCATTTCTTTGTTGCACGTTCTGCTTATGTGTAATGTGGTTGGAAGGCTCACCTTTGCTCCAGGTGTTACCTCATTGAAGTGTTCACGGTGACTTGAAAGCTTTTTTTAAAGTGGTTTAGCACTTGCTTCATATCTCCTTTGCTACTTGTGTCATTGCCTACAGCCTACATATCCTATAATCTCTCAGACTCTCACTTCTATCCTTTCTCTCTCTCTCTCTCTCTTTTCTTGTTTCTTTCACAGCAACTAGAAGAATCTTTAAATTCTTTTAATGTCCCTTGGAAGCTTAATCCTGGAGATGGAGCATTTTATGGACCAAAGGTACTCTACAGTACACATTCACATTCACAGCTATTCAATGTACTAAATTTAATATCAAGCCTTCAAGATGCCATGTACAAATGCACATACACACGTACATGTACATGTATATGTAGGTACTAAGGCTTTATGTGTACACCTCACAAACTTAATATTTAATTTAATATCAAACCTTGTTATGTCACAGACACTTAGCCAATACAGAGAGAGTGAGTCATGCATTGTGATCTAAACACACACACGGTCATGCATTCCTTAATATTCATTTAATCTCACATTAGCTAATCCAACCCCCTACCACTACACACACACACACACACACACACACGTACACAATCGTACTTGTTTTGCTAACCCGTATTGCGAGGTAGGGCGCCATACTTCCCCATCAAAGGAGAGCCTAATTAAGACTAATTGATATTATTAATTGTCAGATAACCTCAAGAGAGTGTTTAAAGAGACTGGCATGTCCTATACAACTTGATACTGGATTGAATTACAGAGACACTCACTCACTTTCCATTACTGGCTTATATGCTGTACATAATTAAATATCGATAATACATGTAATATACGCGTCTATGTATGCATGTTACATACATTTACGGTACATGGGATGCTAGAGAACATTCGATACTTGTGTAGTTAGCGTTTTAATCCCCAGCTGCTATAGTGTGTGGCACCAAGGAATCGCAATTAAAAGATAATGTTACGATTATGAATCGATGTGAGAGCATATAGCACCTGGTTGAGAGGAACGGTTGGGGCAGAGAGAGAGAGAGAGATGGGGGGAGAGAGAGAAGGGAATATATTTTGTGGAGAAAGTTGGAGAAAAAAAAGACTTGATGTGGGATAAGTGTGTTTGTGGTGGATAGAATGGTCGTTATTATTAATTGCAAGTGGTGATGTGGTTGGAAACTGTTGGTTTGGCAACGTTTATCTGTGGTCTATCTCTCCTTCCCTCACTCTCTTTGCTCTACTCTCTCTCTCTCTCTCTCTCTCTCTCTCTCTCTCTCTCTCTCTCTCTCTCTCTCTCTCTCTCTCTCTCTCTCTCTCTCTCTCTCTCTCTCTCTCTCTCCCTCCCTCCCTCCCTCCCTCCCTCCCTCCCTCCCTACCTCCCTCTCTCTCTCTTTTTCTCTCTCTCTCTTTTTCTCTCTCTCTCTCCATAATGCTTGCTTCAATGTCATACAATGATCATGTCATCTTATGCAATGTCAATGATACTTCAATCATTTATTATCATTGTAAAAGTAATACGCCTTACTACTCCTGTTTGATGTTTAGAAGTAGTTATGCATTTTAATTGTGATTACAGCAAAGTATGGGCACCTCCCTAATGGAGCCAATTAGTCATTGCATTAATGCTGCCAAGAGCAGCTGCTGGAATGCAAAGAATATTTATTAACAATTAATAACTAATCCTGAGCTCTATTGTAATCATACCATTACACACAATACCTTTCCTTTGTAGTTTCAGCTCTTTGTATCTATGTACTTTCCCCCTTTTCCTCTCCCTCCGGCATAATTATTATTTTAAACAATACTCTTTTGACATGCACGCATCACTGACATCATGCAGAACTACAGTAATGCATCGGTTTTTTGTGGTTGTATAAGATATCTGAGGTATTCCGGTTCCTCCTACTGGTCCATCTGATTAATTACATCCTAATGTACCTGTTGATGCCTGGTGGTCATTGTGACCACACATCAAAGGCCATGCATTAATTGTGAGAAGTGAGGGAGAGCAGAGCCTAGGGATGTGTGTACATAATCATGATATATGGGATGTTGTAATGATCCACTATGTGTTCAATTAATTGATACTTGTTAATCACTACATGATGATGATGATGATGATTATATGTACATGAATACTCTGTGTGTGTGTGTGTGTATGTACATATTATTACTATTATAGTACTAGCAAATTAGCCCTAGAGTCATTTATAAGTCCTCCCTCTCTCCTTCTCCCTCCCTCCCTCTCTCTCTCCCTCCCTCTCTCCTTCTCCCTCCCTCTCTCCCTATCTCTCTCCCTCCCTCTCTCTCTCTCTCCCTCCCTCTCTCTCCCTCCCTATCTCTCTCCCTCCCTTTTTTTCCCTCCCTATCTCTCTCCCTCCCTCTCTCCTTCTCCCTCCTTCTCTCCCTATCTCTCTCCCTCCCTC